CCTACACACAACCAACCCAAAGGCTCTTTTCAGAGCCACCCACAGACTTCAAAAAAGGGCTCGATCTCTAGGCTTTGTGGGGGGCGGGGAAGAAACTCTCGTTCCGCACCTGCTGTTGCCACCTGCACCTATTCCATGAGGTTCTCCAGTTTACCCGTCACAATACAACGTGCCCGCGTGTTTACGTGTATTAGAAACCCTCCCCCCTAGAAAATTGTCTGGTTCAAATGTTTTGTTTTAATGGATATCCTATCATTTACTTCCCGTGTAATTCCTGGAGGGTTGGCAATCCGATCGGCTCCCGTTGCTCTTTCGCCGCAAGAAGTAGCAGCGCTGGGGCGCGGGCGCCTCGGCCGCCTTTGGCCCGCCCCGCAGGCGAGGGCGCGTTGCTCAATCCCTGGAGCCGCCCTTTGAACTCCGCCGCGCTGTTACCATCGCCTCCGGCTTCTCTTGCGCTTCTTGTCGCCCTTCTTCTGCGTCTTGGTGACCGCTTTCTTGGAGCCCTTCTTGGGGGCGGGGGCGGACTTGGCGGGCTCAGGCATCCTGGTACGACGGACCACGTCCTTCACTACCAGTCGACAAACAAACAAATGTCACAACTGCGCGGCAATGGCGGCGGCCGCCCGGCATTTATAGCGGTGTTATGCAAATGAGCAGATTCCGCTCCGTGCGATTTTACTGGACGCGAGGCCCGCGCGACGGCCCCTCCCGCCGGCCTCCCTCGCCATTGGTCACGGCTTGGATGCGCTTCCTCATTGGCTGCGGCGGAGTTGACAATTTCTCAGCCTATCACCAGTGAGGCTTCAGTCGCCTGACAGAAGGGATATAAGGCCGAGCGTGGGGCGACTGCGTTACAGTTGTTTTCTTTGTTGTGCCTTGCAACTTTGTGAGCAGCTCCTGAGCCATGTCGGGCCGCGGCAAACAGGGCGGGAAGGCGCGGGCCAAGGCGGGGCCGCGCGAGAAGCGGGCGGGCGCGGGCCAATCCGGGGCCAGCGCGGGGCGTTCAAACCCCCTCGCGGTTTAACCCCGCTCCCAGCAGCCTCGCCCCGCCGCCCGTCCCAGCCCCGGGGCTGTAGTGGACCCGCTGCCATTGCCGTTCTCTTGGCCGCCGCCCCCCACTCGCCTCCCGGGGTCGGCTCCGGCTTCTTCTGTCGCAGGGGCCCCAGCACCGCCGCGAGGGCTGCGGGTCTTTTCCCTCCCCTCCCCGTCCCATGGCAGGACACCGTCCCTTATCCCGTCCCCTGTCCAGGGAAATGTTTTGCCCCCGCGGAGACCGGCAGAATAGTAGAGTCGCAGCTCCCTTCAGAAAGGGGTGGGTGGCTCTTAAAAGAGCCGTTGGGGTTGTTTGCACGACAGGCGTCTTCCTCCGCTCGCTTTACTTCTTCTTGGGCGCCGCCTTCTTGGCCTTGGCTGCCCTGGGCTTT